CGCCAGAGCCTGCGCGCCAGCCAGCAAGGCTTCGCAGGGTCCGCCTCCCTCTCGCCCTTGGGAGTGGTGACCACAGAGACCTGCAGCAGCAGCAGCAGCTTCTGCCGCAGCAGCTGCCGCAGCAGCAAGTTTGCTGCCAGCTCTCTCGCGCTGCGCTGCACCAGCAGCGACAGCACTTGGGCCCCCGTCACGAAGGGGCCCCTGGTCCACTGGGCAGCCCACTGGGCAGCAGCAGCTTCCAGCTGCGCGTCTGCTGCTGCTGCTGCTGCTGCTGCTGCTGCTGCCGGCCCGCCGCCGGCCCCCGCCGCCGCCGCCGCCGCCGCTGCTGCTGCTGCTGCTGCTGCTGCTGCTTCCGGCGCAGCAGCAATCTGAGGGGCTGGCAGCAGCGGCTGCCGAGGCAAAGGAAGTGCTGCACTTGGCTCTAAAGGGTTTTTATCTTCAAAACATAAAAAAGTCAAATTTGCTGCGAAGCTGCTGCTGTCCAGCAGCAAACCGTCCCACGCCCCCGACAGCCCGTACCGGTGCGCCAGCTGCAGCAAGCAGCAGCGCATTTCATTTAATTAATTTAATTCAATTAATTAAATTAATTTAATTTAATTAAATTAATTTAATTAATTTAATTTATTCTATTTAGTTATTCTTTGCTTCTTCTTTCCCCTGATGTGCTTGGGGATTGCGCGCTGCGAACGCCATTCGCCAGTCAGAGCGCCAGCAGCAGCAGCAGCAAACCAGCAGCAGCAGCAGCAGCAGCAGCAACAGCAGCAGCAGCAACAGCAGCAGCAGCAGCAAAACAGCAGCAGCAACAGCAGCAGCAGCAGCAGGGGATGAGGCGCAGGAGCGCACTTCGATGGCGTCGGAAGGCGATATATCTTTGTAGGTGATGGGCCTGTTTGCTGCTGCTGCTGCTGCTGCTGCTGCTTCTGCTTCCGCCCACTCTTCCTCTTGAGCAGCAGCAAGAAGCTGCTTCAGCTCTTCTTCTTCTTTTGCTGCTGCAGCTTGCTGCTCCTTCGTCAGCTCCCACCGATAGCCGTAGCTGTCTCTGAGCACCGACAGCCCTCCGCCCCAGCTGCTGCTGCTGCTGCTGCTGCTGCTGCTGCTGCTGCTGCTGCTACTGCTGCTGCTGCTGCTGCTGCTGGTTGGCTGCCCGTCTATCTCCATTCGGTCTTCGTCTCTGCTGCGATCTGTTGCGCTGCTCTGGGAGAAGCCAAAGAAGTCTGCTGCTGCTGCTGCTGCCACAGCAGCAGCGGATTCTGTTGCTGCAGCTGCTGCTGCTGCTTGCGACGGAGCTGCTGCTGGCCTTGAAGAACCAGAAAAGCCTGATGAGTCTGCTGCTTCTGCTGCTGCTGCTGCTGCTGCTGCTCGCTGCGTGGCACCCGCTGCTGGCTCCTGGGAGCTCGAAAAGCCGAAGAAGTCTGCTGCTGCTGCTGCTGCAACTTCTGCTGCAGACTCTCCTGCTGCTGCTGGCTTGGGGGCCCCCTGGCCCCAGCGAGAAGTGGTCCTGGGGGCCCCTCTTGTTGCGCTGCTGCTGCTGCTGCTGTTGCTGCTGCTGTTAATGTCACTGTGAGCTGATTTACTAGGCTGCACCCTGTCCTGCCTCCCTTGCTGCAGCAACAGCTGCTGCTCTTGCTGCTGCTGCTGCTGCTGCTGCAGCTGCTGCGGCGGCTGATCCCACTTCGCCGCATGAGGCCGCGCAGGTGCTGGTGCTGGCGTTTGTGTCGGTGCAGGCGCTGCAGCAGGTGCTGCTGCTGCTGCTGCTGCTGCTGGCTCTGCTGCTGCTGGATCTGCTGCTGCTGTTGGCTCTGCTGCTGCTGCTGACTCTGCTGCTGCTGATGGCCGCCCTGCTGCTTCGACCGAGTCTGCTGCTACTGGGTGACCAACTACTGACGTTGCTGCTTTTTGCTGGGCTGCAGCAGCACCCGCTGCTGCTGCTGCTGCTGCCGCTGCAGCAGACTCGAGGGCAGCACCAAGGGCTGCCGGTGTTGCTGCTGCGTCTTGCTGCTGCAGTGCTGCTGCTGCTGCTGCGTCTGCTGCTTCGTCATGAGGCTCCTGCTGCAGCATCTCCTCGTCGTGAAACAGCTGAGAGCCTCCCACGGGCTCCTCAACATCAAGCTGCTGCTGCTGCTGCTGCTGCTGCTGCTGCTGCTGCTGCTCGTCTCCCTGCTGTAGATATAGCTGCTGCAGGTCGCGCAGCACGTGCTGCGGATCAACATCTAGCTGCTGCTCAAGAAGCTCTTGCTGCTGCTGCTCCTGCTGCTGCTGCTCCTGCTGCTGCCACTCCTGACTCGGAGCAGCAGCAGCATCTGCCGATGGCTGCGTGGGGAATGAGGGCACTAGGCTGTCTCCCTCCGTTGCTGCTGCTGCTGCTGCTGCTGCTCCTGCTGCTGCTGCTGCTGCTGCTTCTTGTGTTGCAGTCCACGGGAGGCTTTCGTTGCCGTCTGGCTGCGATTGCTGCAGCGCGCTGTCTTGGGTGAGCTGCTGCTGCTGCTGCAGCACATCCAGATCCTGCTGCTGCTGCTGCTGCTGCTCCTGGAAGAAGCCCTCGTCCTCTCCCTGCTGCAGTTGCTGCTGCTGCTGCTGCTCGTGCAGCTCATCGTCTCCAGCTTCTTGCTGCAGCAAGGGGTCATCTGCTTCCTCGAGGGTCTCTTCCTTGTCCGCTGGCTCGGAGAGCTGGCTGCTGCTGCCCTTGGCAGCAGCAGCAGCAGCAGCAGCAGCAGCAGCAAGCTGGGGGTGGTAGTGGGTCACCACAAAGAGCCGCACATCCTCAAGATCTTGTTCAGTGTGTGCTGCAGCAACAAGCTGCAGCAGCTTAGTCTTAATTGCTTCCGGAGTTTCCCCAGCAGCAGCAGCAGCAGCAGCAGCAGCAGGCTGCGTCGCGGCGGCGTCGCCGCCCTCCCGCCGCCGCCGCTGCTGCTGCTGCTGCTGCTGCTGCTGCTGCTGCTGCTGCTGCTGCAGCGTGACCCCCAGCTGCAGCAGCTTGACTCGCGCAGCACGCAGCCGCCAGTAGTGGCGGTCCAACTCGTAAGTTCTCCAAACCATTTCTTCGGAAAGAGGCGGAGACAGAAGATGCATGCGGTGCTGCAGAATGAAGACCACTTCGAAGCCTTGCTGCAGCAGCAGCTGCAGCAGCAGCAGCACCTTCTGCTGCACCTCCCCCTGCGGCTCCCGCTGCAGCAGCAAACCCCCCTCACGCCCAAACGCGTCTTCGTACCGCTGCAGCAGCCGCGGCACCGAAAGGTCAGCAGCAAACTCCTCCAGCAGCAGCGCGCTAATCCACACCGACTCCGCCGCCAGTGCTGCCTGCAGCAGCAGCAGCAGCAGCAGCAGCAGCAGCAGCAGAGGCGCGTGGGCTCGGCCAGGGGCAGCAAGGGAGACACGCACACCAACGCTGGACAGAAAGGGCGCAGCGGGGGAGATGCTACAGCAGCAGCAGCAGCAGCAGCAGCAGCAGCAGCAGCAGCAGCAGCAGCAGCAGCAGCAGCAGCAGCAGCAGCAGCAGCA